TGATAAAGGACTTATTTTTTATCAAGTATGAAGAATCTTACAATTCACTAATAAGAAAATGAACTGATTTTAAAAATGGACTGAATGTTTGAATAGACACTTTCCCAGTGATCATATGTGTGAACAGATGAATGGCCAGTAACATGAAAAGATGCTCAACATCATAGACATTAGAGAAATGCAAATTAAAACTTCAGAAAGATCCTGCTACATACCCAATGGAATGATTAAGATCAAAAAGACTGAAAATACCAAAATTTGATGAGGATGTATAGAAATTGCAACCCTCATGTACAACACACATTACATTTTGTTGGAATGTAAAACAGTATAGCTACTTCATACTTTGAGGACCAGTTTAGCAGCTGCTGAAAATGTTAAACAGAAATCACTGGACCTGACAGTTCTACCCTTAGGTACATATCAGAGAGAATTGAAAACATATGTCCACCCAAAAACCTGTACAAGAATGTTTATAGCGGCATAATTGATAAATAAGCAAGAAGTGGGAAGAACTCAAATATCCAGCAATAGGTGAATGAGTAAACAAATTGTGGAATTTTCATAGAGTGGACTCTTACTAAGCAATAAGAAAACAAACTGCTTCCTGGGAGATGCATCTACAAAGATGACTCTCAGAAACATTATGGTAAGTGGAAGAAGCCAGACACAAAAGTCTACATATTGTATAATCCATCTATATGAAATTTCTGATTAGGTAAACCCACAGAGATAGAAAAGGAATTGGTGGCTGCTGAGTGAGGAGTGGGAGTGGGGACTGACTACAGAAGGACATTAGGAAACTTAGTGGGTGACAGAAACATTGTAAAGCATGGTTGTGGTGATGCAGTACTTGAAAACGACTATATGAATTCACTAATACTCATGTAACTTTATGAAAGTGGGTGAATTTTATGGTGTGCAAATTGTTTCATAATTAATACAGTTTATGAATTTGAAAATAATTCTAGGGCTTATTGAAAAAAAGGAATTTAAAAAAAAGGAATTCATGATTCCACACTGCTAATATGCCAGCATGTAAATGAGAATGAAGGAAAGGTTCTTCCTTACAATAGAATGATAAATTAAGTGCTGACTGGTAAATCAATATAGGTATGTTGTGAGTGGTGAAATCAGAAAATTAGCTTTTTGCAGCCATCTAGAATCAAAGATTGGATCAATCAGGAATCACAAATGGATGCTGAACCTAGGGGGAGATTTTGATAAGGAATAGGATATTGGCATAGTGTAAAAGTATCTCTTCACAGTCTGCTTATTGTTACGAGATAACAATAGTTCTGAAATCAGATATCTTAAGCAGATAATCAAAAATAACATTCCTGATAAGGGGCATACCATCTAACCTAGAATCCTGAACTGGAAAGAAAAAAAAGGCTACAGTTGAATCAGTTGACAAGATTGGAATATGGACAATACATTAGATTAAAAAAAAAAAACAATGTTAACAGAAGTTTATGATTATATTGATGTTATATAAGAAAATAATAGGGGAGGAACCTGTAGCCTTAAGGCTACATGTGGCCCTCCAGATCCCCAAGAGCAGCCCCTCAATTAAATCTAAACTCCTTCAGGGATTTTTTCTGTAAAAATTAGATTCATTCAAGAGTCTGAACTCAAGGATGCAGTGGGCCACATATGTGGAAAGAATGATCTTGCCTGTGCAAGCAAAAGATAAAGCAAATGGAACAAAATCTTAACAACAGGGGCTTGGTAAAGACTTTCTGGGTATTTTGGGTACTATTCTTATAACTTTTCTTTAAGTTAGCAATTAACTCCAAATTGTTAAAATACTTCTTTTGAAAAAAACATTTTGACTTAAGGATTAGGAATTTTTTGTTTGTTTTGAGACG